AATTTCTACTGGAACCTGGGCTTGTTCCTGCAAAAAAAGAGGCTTTATATCTATTTGATGATGATGATTTTTACCTGCCAGGCCTGTTTGCGAGCCTGGATCAGCTGCTGCAGCTCCGTGATCCTGTCCCTCCCCGCCAGCACCGACTCTGCCACCTTCCTGTTCTCCTCCTCCTTCTCCCCGAGGACTTTCCGCAGGTAGGCTCTGTGCTTCAGGAGGTACGGCACCACGGCGCCACGCACGTCCTCCTCCGGGATCCCACTGGGGCGCCTAGGAACAAACTGGGACGTGAAGGGACCAGAGAAGCGGCCACCTTGCGTGGTAATTAGCATCACAGCCCCTAATTGGGTGCTGGGTTGTTGATGAAGTGTTGATGTGAGCTCTAATGGCTAAAACGTCCCGTCAGCTTTATGAAGTATTCCAAATTATTCCGAGTTTCCCTCCCCTCTGGTCTCAGTGGCACCAACCTCCTCCTCGCACTGAGGAAGGGTAAATATGTGAAACACAGCAGCACAGGTTAAACTCAGTTTTGGTTAAACTTAGTTTTGGTGGTTTTAGAGGCAATGACGTTGCTGTTAAGCGAGGTTTCAAAAATCCCCTTGCCACACAAGACCTACAGGACACGTCAACGTGACCCAACTTCTGCCCTCCCCTGTGGGAACCCCCCCCACACCCAAACCCATCCGTACCACGCGGGTTCCTTGTGGTCCTTGGCCTCCTCCACGATCTTATCGAGCGAATTAAAGAGCACCTCCAGGTTCCCTTCAGCCATCACCTCCTGGATCTCCTCCTGCCAACGAAAGGCACCACAAGGACTCAGCAGGACCCAAACCGAGCTGGCCCAGCTGGCTCTGCACGCAAGTGCTCACTTTTCCCCGGACGAAGGCTGCGTCCTGGGAACCACCAGGCGCGAGTCCCCATCCCTGGAGGAGCGGCTGGGGGAGCTGGGGCTCTTTAGTTTGCAGAAGAGGAGACTGAGGGGAGACCTCATTCATGGTTAGAAATATTTAAAGGGTGAGTGTCACGAGGATGGAGCCAGGCTCTTCTCGGTGACAAACAATGATAGGACAAGGGGTAACGGACACAAACTGGAACACAGGAGGTTCCACTTCAATTGGAGAAGAAACTTCTTCTCAGTGAGGGTGACAGAGCCCTGGCCCAGGCTGCCCAGAGAGGTTGTGGAGTCTCCTTCTCTGCAGACATTCAAAACCCGCCTGGACGCCTTCCTGTGTAACCTCATCTGGGTGTTCCTGCTCCGGCAGGGGGATTGGACTGGATGAGCTTTGGAGGTCCCTTCCAATCCCTCACGTTCTGTGGTTCTGTGGATTTCAAAGCCTAGACGTGGTTTTTAGTGCCGTGCTGTAGCGGCTGACTGGGCAATGTGAGCTTAACGATGATTTTAAGGGCCCTTTCCAACTCAGCTTCATGGTTTTATCATTTAGAAAACAGATTCGCTGCCTTTAACCCCAATGCGCTCAGCGCTTTCACCCCGAGGAGCTGCAGACCCCCACAGACCCCCGCCCCCCAAACCCCC